ATCCATACAGCTTCTGAATTTTTATTTTTATCAGTGAGTTCCCTTGTCTGCAAGTTTTCTTTTACGTATACTGCAACACCACCTCCCTTCTTGCCTATCCGGTCTCTACCGGAATGGAAAGAGATGGAAAGTCAGACAAATTCTTCAGCTCCTTTGCAAGTTCTCTGCCATCCAAGTCTGAACGTTCTTCTTCCATCACTCTCATTTCTTGGGAAAGCAAAGTTATATGGTACCTCACTTGGTCCTTTGCAAGACAGTTGTGTCTGATTTCTGTTTGTCAGAACTGACAGCCAGTCAGCAGGGTTTGTGGAAAGCGATTTGTCATCAGCAGCAGCATTTGGTGGGGATGCTGCTACAGGCTTTTCTAATAGAGAGCACATGGACATTAATTTTCATATGCATTATCAATTATTACTTACAATATGGAAACTTCATACTTTGCAATAGGGAATTTATTTATTTCGTTTGTTATGCAGGGATGCACACATACACATGTGTAGGTCCTGTTGTACCAGTACAGTGTGACATCTGCCAGACCGTACACACAGCTTTTACGCTTCCACAATGTTCCTTTACAGTTGGCCTCAGGTGGAGGTCTTAATTGTCATTCAACAGTTCAGTTCCCTGTAAGAATGCAGACTTAATGTCCATCGAGTGAAGTGTCCATTTTCACTGTAAACAGGGCAAGTATTTTAAAACTTGCCCTGTTTTCAGATGGACATTGATCGTCTGTTCTCTGTCACGAGTCTCTACAGCAGGGGTAGCCAATATTATCCGCAAAGGGCCGGTGTGTATGCGGGTTTTTGCTGCAACTCCCCAATTAGATTACTAATTAGGGGACTGATTGGCTGAAGAGTCCTCACACCTGGTTTTGAACAGTTGACCTACAGGTTATCCCAAAAACCGGCATACACACCGGCCCTTTACAGATAAGATTGGCCACCCCTGTTCTACAGCATCAACAGCGTGCTGTGATATACTCTGCACCCTAGTGCTTATCCCTGTGCATTTCAGTATCTGTGTCATTCATGTCATTGTCAGTAGTTCTTTTCTCCACATCATTTTCAGCATTTTCATTTCTGAGGTGTTGATCATCAATGCTAACCTTTCTGAGTCTGAGGTAGTGTACCCTCACACAGGTTCCTCCGTGTCTGACAAAGAGCACTGCTCCATCCTGACCAATCACAACTCCTGGTCCTTTCCAATCTGGACAGTCCACTGTCTTATAGTACACTTTGTTGCCCATTTCATATCTCTCATCAGTGTTGCGCAATTGTTTGCGCAATGCTCTCCTTATTCTTTCTGAACATTCTGCCTCTAAATGTTTTTCTTGCTGTATGTAAAGCGGAGATTTGCTTGGCTAACCACTCACTTTTTGTGGTGCCCTCTAAAGCTGGAGGCTTGTCGATCAGCACAGAGGGCAAGTTTGGATTCTGTCTAAACACCAACTGATGAGGACTGTAACCATGAACATTTTGCAAGGTGTTCTTTGCCATAAATGCACAGTTCAATGCAGTTTCACACTCACAGCCATTACTTGCTCTCACCTTCATGATGATTTCAGTCAGTGTCTGATTGTGTCTTTCTAGCAGTTCATTGCTCCATGGACTATATGCAGTCTCTGCCATATCTCTCACCTCATCATTGTTGAACTCTCCACCATTGTCACTAAACAGTTTCTGAGGTAGGCCATGCACGCTTATCCAGTCATGTATTAAGTGCTTCAATATTTCAGATCCTCTCTTTGTGGTCAGAATGCTTCCTGCACTAAACCTTGTGAACTGGTCAATAATGTGAAGATACCACACACGGGGCTCAAGTTCATGTAGGTCTACTGCAACAGTTTCATTGTGCTGAGATGCCAGTGGTAGGCCCACAGCTGGCGTTGGTATGGTCCTACTGTATATCGGACTGTAACGGGGTGTGCCTGAGCAGAGAAGTGGGTCAGAACAGAATGATAGACAGCTGCACAGAGGTCTTCAAAAAAAATTACTTTTCCTTTATTAATTTCCTTTTAAACTACCAGAAGGACACAATGCAGCACAAGCCCATACATCCTTTCCCGACAGAGGCAATCTCTCGACTGAGCTGCGCAGGACATATTTAAAATGCTAGGCAATACCATTGATCACTCCCCAATCAATCAACTGTCAAACGCACACCTTTACCATTTTACACATTTTGCCTGCACAGTATACAGTATTTTAGTATATAATAATTACTGTTACTATCATTGTCAGTGTATTTTTATTGTCTAAATATATGATTCAGCTAGTATA